CTTCCCCGGAGGAACGAAGAAAGAAGCGAGGATATGAATGTCCATAGCACCAAGCTGATCACAAATCCAGTCATCGGGAACCACGGAAAGGCGATGAGACGACAGCTGATCAAAGACTGAAAGTTACTCTGTCACAGAAATGACCATAAGAAATAGAATTACCTGACGGCGTGCTTCCATGCTACCTTCTGCTGGTGTCGGCGGACCGGCTTGCCCAATCGACTCAAACTGTTGGGGGAGGCCGGCGCGTGCACACTGGCCCAAATTCTCCAGTTGTTGTATAATTTTTACAGACCGTTCATAAGACTGCTTGCATTTTGCGATCGCTGAAAACAGTTGTGCGAATTGAGCTGCTTCCGTATCTCGAAGGCTGCGAACATCCTTTTCTGCCTGAAACAAAGCAGTACGCATTCCTTCGGTCATTTTACTCGCAATGGATTAGAATAAATTTGGAACAGCCTGAAAATCTAAAATTAATTCCCCTCTCGCACTCATCCATCTCCATTCTTTCAAAGGATTCCTTCGCAGTCCAAGTGGCTGCACATTTCACCAGCAGCAAGTGCGTTTTACCGAAACTGTAGATGTGTCAGAATAGTAATTAGGACAAGCTGAACCGGAATGAACAGAGTAACAATTTGCCGTCGTTACGAAGCGATGACTGGCGAAGGGACTTGCTTACTTAGTGGCATCTTTGGATCACGGATTCGAAGTGCGACCGGTAAATCAATTCGTGGGTTTCCTAGTTTCACGGGAATCTTAAAACAGAGAATTTCTAGTGACATCATTGTCCAGAGAAAATTCATTGACGAGCTACACCTGTATTCAAGATGAGGTGAAAAACCGTTGAAACAAAATCAAATCTAACAGTGCTTGTGAGGAGGACAAAAGAGACGCTAAAAAGAAACAAAGCAGAGAGTGAGAGAGAAAGCAAAAAGGACAAAGTGAACTGCTTGGATCTCAGTGTCGAGATTGCTAAATCTCAATTTCGCAATAATTGTATAAAATTTGTATTTTTC